TGGCTTGTCTGGAATAAATTTTGTACCACGAATCTGAAAAAAAAAAACCTATGCTAATTTCTTGCAACCTGATATCATCCAAATGCTAGTACAACTCCCATAATCAAAAGCCAATTTGCAATAGGTTATTGAACACAAATCTCTCTAGTTAAATTCTAATGGCCCAACTCCTACAAACTGGCACAGAATGGCCTTAGATAGTATCCACCTTTGTTAAAAAGTGGTGATACAGTATATTTCTTTTGTTGGAAGGGGTTGGGCTAGATGACCTTTGAGGTTTGTTCCACCTTGCTGTAATTTTATGATGCTGTTTCCCCTTTGTAAATCTTCTGAGTTTTCCTAGTGATGTTCCTGTACTTTGTCTTTAACACAGAACATTCACTGTGTTAAAGAACAAATGAGCAGATAAATATCCTTAGTGGTATCTTCTGTCTTTTAGGCGTTTTAGGGAGAGAGCCATGCTAGTCTTTATTAGCCAAAAATCAGGAGTCTAGCGGCACCTTTTCCAACCAAAACATTTTATTAAAAGGCATAAGCTTTTGTGAGCTGCAGGTTGCTTCATCAGGTCCATCTACCATTAGTTAGCCTGAAAACATGCTCCTGGACTCCTGATCTTTCTTTACAATTTAGAGTAGGTGTGATTTTGAAAGAGTTGTGAAGTTTGGGGTGGAAATCCTGCATGTGTGCATTGATGTAGGTGCAGGAATTCTTCAAGGAAAGATAATTCCCTTGGATAATTAATTCCCTTGGGAGGAACACATTGGTTTTGCTGCTTTGCTAGTGTAATTTTTCATTTCATGTTTTTTTTTTTGTGGAAACCCATAGGGAGGCCATATTTCTAAAGATTAATACAATCACATCCAGTACACAAAGTACTTTGCAGCTGCCTTGGACACTTTAAAAGCATGTTTAAAAGAAGATGCAATCTGAACTAGAATGTTACCACATCTACACACACTTGTTAGATGATGTTGGTTTTTTCAGAGTCCTATAGATTGTCGCTTTTAGTATGCAGAGATAAGCGGGGAATCTCCCTTTTAGATTTGTGCCTATTATGCATTACTTAACATGCAGTATTTAGGAGTCTCTGTGCATAAAAAAGGGGAGGATCATCAGCAAGCTGTGCTTCTTGGATAATTTCCTTTAAGCCCCAGGACATGCTGGCATTGCTATTGCCCTTAAAGTCATTTAAACCATTCCCACAAAGGTCCCTTTTTATCTTAAAGATTGCCAGGTTCATTCTTTATTTCCATTCTCTCCAAAGGAGAACTTCCACAACTTGGTACAACCTTTTTGTACCAAGTGGTGGAAGTTCTCCTTTGGAGAGAATGGAATTCTAAGCATGCTTACTTGAACGGAGTCCATTGTGTTCAATGAGGTTTACTCACAAGTAAACATAGCTAGGATTGCATCCCTAATGTATTTACAGTACAGATGGGCAGTGAAGGATCCATGGACACCTCTCTTGCTGCTTGCCAAGCTTAATACCTACCTGACTTAAAACACACACACACACACAAAATAAATAAGGAGGAAATTGTCATATTGCAGTGCCCCAATTTTTCAGCTCATATTTATTTGCAGCAATATTCACAAAATGCCCCATAGGAATAGTAAAGAGAATGCTGGGGTGGTGAAGAGAATTCAGACCTTCTGGGTGATGGGGGTCCATATCCATTTTGTGAGAAGAGAAATCTCCCTCAACAGCTGTTCTGGGCATGTCCTACCACATGCTCCCAAAATCACAAACTGGTTCCAGTCCCCAAAAGTTTGCTTAGCCTTCCTTAAGTCATATGATGCTTTTTTAATTGGCCATTGCCTTTAACTACATAAGCATGTACTGTATATATTTATTTCATTCTATAAATTAATGTTGATTTTGTAATGTACTGATGAGTATAAAACTAATACACTTTATTGTGGCATGATGCAAATCAAAACAGTTGAAATGGTATGGGTGTATATTTCATGCTGCTCCTTTTTCTAATGTATTGGCCTCGTATTTAATACTCGTGCGGCAGCCAAAGATGATTAGGAATTTCATGCTGCTTGTCAGTACAGAGAAAGCGAAGACTTATTCTGCACACCACCATAGAATTGCAGAAACATTTCCACATTAGGCTTCTATTTATTCATGTATTTATTTTTGCAAGCCCAAGGAGCTAAATGCCTGTGTTCCATGCTGTATGAAGACTTGGAAACATTCTTTCTGTAGAAAAGGGGTGTTATATCTGCTGTGCGTGTGGCTGTAAAGCTCAGGTGATAATTAAACCACAGGAATGAAGTTTGAGAGTGAAATTGTGCATATGGTAAAAAAAGTCTAGATAAACCAGCATGTGTAAACCAGTCAACAGCCACACAGATAATGATGTGTGACAAAGATGGGTGGAACATAGACTATCTCATAGTTGACTCTGTGGATAGGCAGAAGTCCACTGCATATAAAATTAGTTTTTTTTTTTTAATTCCTTCAATACAATTCCTTACCAGAATCGGTGGTTGTTAATTCTAACATGTATGTTTTATACCAACCGGTCCCTGTTCAGATGTGCTGGACCACAGCTGTTATGATGTCTAGCCAGAGTAGCCATCGCCTGTGGTTATTGTGGATGATGGGAACGGTAGTCTCCATTCATCTGGTTGAGGAGGAGGTTGGGGAATGCTGCTTTTATCTGCTCCCATTCTTGAGCATGAGCATCTTAATACAGCTTTCCCTTTCCCTATGCCTGCATTGTTATATTTTTCTGCATGGGGGGGTGGGTAACTGTTTAGTTCCTCTGGTTCTGGCATCTTCTACAGATTTGTTGTCGTTGTTCAGTCGTTAAGTCGTGTCCGACTCTTCGTGACCCCATGAACCATATTGCGCCAGGCCTTCCTGTCCTTCACTGCCTCCCTGAGTTGGCTCA